ATCTGTAATACATTTTACATCCAACAATAAAGATTTGAAATAAATAAATAAATAGATACATTTCACTATATAAAAATTTAAAAATTTTTATTTGGTTTAAGAAGAACCAAAATTTAATAGATGAGAAAACCATCTGGTAAAAAATTATTCATAATACAGATGATAGAATAATACTAGAAAATTTCTAAGGTATCTGTTTTCACTTATAGTTATTAATTTCCAACATATCATTTCTGCTTCCTACTCCTTTTAGATTCATGCTCAACTTGCTAGACCTAGAAAGAGGTCAATATAGCCTTGACTTACAGGAAGAGACTCCACCCTCTCTCTCCAGATACATTTTTTGAACACATTATGCCCTCACATGTTACTATCATGAATCACATCTCATCAAATCTTAGTAATACCTTGTAGCATTGAAATCATTTCAAGTTCATTTAATACCTATTCTCCCTTTACTAAGAATGTGAATATCTTAGGCCATATATATTATTTTCCTCTGTTAGCATTGTGCTTTATTCTATGTCACACCTATGATAGTCTATAGGATTATTACACTTTAGCACTTTAACTATCTACCTTCTTTCTAGAAATTTCCATTGTAAACAATATACTTCATGATAAGGTCATTTTTTGTCCTGCTGGACACCATCTTCTCAGGCCTCATGAAATGTTTTCTAAGCTTCTCAGATATTTTATGAGTATGAGAGAAACACCTCAGGTGAGATGAAGTAACTTTAAGAGACTCAACAATAGATATGGACAAACTAAGGGGCTTGTAACAGCAGGAAGCTGTGACCAACCACCCTAGGCCTAAAGGGGCAAGTGAAGGAATGGTGTTCCTGGACACCAGGGATTTCTGGAACCATGAATTAGTGCCCAACAGAAGTTGCAATTGCATATGGACACAGTCACTGTCAAGATCTCAACAAAGCTGGGAGAGAGAAGAGAAAAATACTTAACTTCTCTTCCTTCCCTCTGATCTTATGTTGGTGCCTGCCATTAGCAGAACCCACTGAAAGCCACACAGTAGGGGCCCTTGGGTGATCCGTCTGCTCCCAAGGCTTGTGGCCAGATAGAGAAGAGCTGAGGATGAATAGAGGAAAGGTGAATGGAGAATAACTAGCCCAGTCCACACTTTTTGTCACTCAGCATCATTTCTCAACCTTCACGTTCATGTTCCCCAAATAAGAGAAACACAAAGTGCTATCAGCTACAGGGAATCATCAAGGTGATGGCAATTCAGCCATATTCCCAACTAGAACCTAAATGATAACATTAGCTATCTCCAGTATTCTGCATATAAAGTGGCAGGGAAAGGGGAGAAAATAATGAACATAATAAATTATGGCTACAATCCCACCCTGCAGCTGTTCAGGAGATTGGTAATAAAAGGAAGTAGTTAATAATCACTGCTCCATGGTTTCCGTATCCTCTGATAACCCCTTTGATGGTCATAGTTCTTATTTGACAGGATGATCCAATCCTCCATTCCTGAAGAGTTGAGTCCCTTAAGGTCCCCCTTATTGAAGTGTCACAATTTCCCACTGACAATTATTACTGGAAATGGGAGTACCAAGGGGCACCCAAGAGAATCCCTTGGGCTCTCTCTATATGCAGCCCTCCATGCCAATATTATGTAACTGCATCTTAATATCCCTTGGTGATGAAGATCAGCCACACCAGCCAGTGCAGTAATGACCTGTTCTGCCAGTTAGCTCAGCTGCATGAGGAACTCCAAGTGACCTGCTATCAGGTTCAAAGAACCATGACTTACTTATTCCCCAGAGGAAGGATTCCTTCATTGGGAATTAGGAACTCTAACCCCACTGAACCCAAAGTCACAACAATGGCAAGTAAATATTCTGTAAGTGAGTTATTAGGTGTGATCATGAGCAGGAATATCCCCACATCCATCTTGCTTTATGGGCTGTGTATTTTAGCTTTAGAAGAAAATGGTGTCTCATATTGTTCATTGACTCAAAGCATTAATGGTGTACTATAGAACAGTACCCTCAACGTTTCAGGGAATTCTCTCTGAACTAACAGTGAAACTGAGACTTTTCCTGGCCATTCCAGTTTCTACCATGCCAGCTGCTCTGCACAGTGATGCACATAGTCGGACCAGAGAACTTGATGGAAGTGAGCCAACGGCCACAGTACTTTAACTATGAAATGCATACCTTGGGTGGAGGCAATGTTATGTATAATACAATAGCAATGAAGAAGCTATTCTGCAAGTCAACAGAGCTGGCAGATTTATAGTCAGGAAATGCAAATCCCTACCCAGAACATAAAACATTCCCCTGAGGAAAAGATGCTGCCCTTTTCCTTATGGAGTCTAATACAATCAAGCAGTCATCACTTGGCTGGCTGGTCCCCCTGGGAAATGGTATCATATTGTAGGCTTAAGTTGGCCCCTGATGTCGGCAGGCTGGGCACTCAGCAATGGCTAATAGTTCAACCTTAGTAAGGGGATGTCTATGTCATTGAGCCCATTCGTAATCTCCATTGGACTCCAGGTAGCTGGGGCCACTTTGTACTCAGACACTAAGCCAGCCACGGGAGGGTAGGCAAGGCATCCAAAGGTTAGGTTTTCTGATTTCTGAGAGCCTCCTTTGTAGAGGATGTCTTCTGGCCATCATTTAAATCTAACGACTCTAATTCTCTTCTATGTCTTCCTCTTCTGTTTATCAAACAGAAAAAACACAGGTTTTTAATTGCCTTCTGCTTTCAGAGACTCTTTTTCTTTCACTCTAAAAGCAAATCCTTAATCTGATCTAATGAGGAAAGAGGAACAATCTTAAAACCCTTTCATCTTCTCAAATAGATATCGATTTGTATCTGCAGTGTATATAACTTCTAAGCATCATCACTGTTGCAAGGATATACTTGGCAAGTTTTAAGGTAGAGTTTAAGACTTGTGTGAGTCAAATAGAAGTATATGACTATAAATTCTAAGTATAGGAAGAGTTTAAAAATAAATGTATAAGCCCTGGCCAGTTTGGCTCAGCAGTTAAAGGGTTGGCCTGCGATCCAGAGAGACCCAGGTTCGGTTCCCGCTAAGGGCATGTACTTCAGTTGCAGCTTGTCCCTGGCCCTGGTTGGGTCGTGCGGCAGCCACTCGATGTGTCCCTTTCACGTCGATGTTTCTCTCTCTCTTCCTCCCGCTCTATCTGAACAAAAAATGAAAAAAAATATACTCGGGTGAGGATTAAAAAAAAAGTTTAAAAATAAATGTTAAAGAAATAAGTTAAAGAATAATAAAAATAAGTTAAAGAAATCCCTAAAACAGTAGTAATAGGAGGCACTTTTGAAGAATTTGTTACTACAGTACTCTCCTTACCTGCAGCCTTTCCATAGTTTTAGTTATAAATGGTCAACTGTGGTCCAAAATATGAAATGGAAAATTAAAAAATATGAAATGAAAAATAACCAATTAATAAGTTTTCAATTGCATGCCATTCTGACTAGCACAATGAAATCTTGAGCTGTCCTGCTCCATCAGGATGTGACTCTCCCTTTCTCCAGCACATCTACTCTGTTCACATTATCCACCCATCAGTTAAAAAACAACAACAACATGATATATATAGGGCTCAATATTATCTGCAGTTTCAGGCATCCACTGGGGGTCTTGGAATGCACACCCTGCAGATAAGGGGGGACTACTGTATATAATTATTATTAAAATACTTTTAAGGGGCCCGGTGGGTGTGGCTTAGTGGTTAAATGTCAACCCATGCACGGAGAGGTCATCAGTTTGATTCCCAGTCAGGACACATGCCCAGGTTGTGGGCCTGATCCCCAGGGGGGGGTGCATGCAGAAGGCGGCCAATCAATGTTCTCTCTTATCAATGTTTTTATCTCTCTCTCTCCCTCTCCCTTCCTCCCCTTCTAAAATCAATAAAGAAAAAAATTTTTTAATACTATTAAGGGTTGTCAAATCCTACTCTTGTCTGGGTCTGGATTTGTAATGAAAACCTGCAATCACCGCCCTGGCCGGTTTGGCTCAGCGGTTAGAGCGTCGTCCTGCGGTCCAGAGAGACCCGGGTTCGGTTCCCGCTAAGGACACGTATGTCGGTTGCAGTTTGTCCCCGGCCCTGGTCAGTGGTGTGGGTGGCAGCCACTCGATGTGTCCCTTTCACATCGATGTTTCTCTCTCTCTCTCTCTCTCTGTTCCTCTCTCTCCCTCCCACTCTACCTAAACAAAAAATGGAAAAATGTCCTCGGGTGAGGATAAAAAAAAAACAAAACCTGCAATTACCAAGAGTGAAATGGCTTCTCACTTTGTATGCATTTCCTTCCAAAATGAAATCCTTAATTTGCTTTAATAGTTTAATGCCCTGCCTCCAGCAAAACTATTATTACTAGTGCTGCTACTTCTGCTGTCATATTGTTATTATTAGAAGCAAATCTAATGCCATTCTCCCTTTTTTGGACTAATTTTGTTTTCTTACAGGTTTCATTAATGGACCTAAAGCATTAGGGGAAAAGTGAAAAGAGAGTACTCTAGAGCTTCTAGGAAAAGAGGCTGGAGGAGAAGAAAAAGCAGAAGGGTGGGGGAAGGCATAAAGAGACAGTGGTGCTGTCTGCTTTAGCCAGTAATCAGAGACATATTCAAACCATGGGCTACATAAGTTTAAGCTGCAGTCAGAACTCAAAGAAAAAATCCCTGGGCTCAAAGGGCAGTACGGTACCTAACACATAGATTCTAAAGCCCAACTGACTGATCTTGAATCCTGACTCTGCCATTTATTAGCTGTGTGATACTAAGCAATTTACTCAACTAATCTGTGCCTAGGTTTCCCCATATGAAAAATAGGGATAATAGTAGCACTTACATTACAGGACATTGCAAGGATTAAATGGGTAATGTAAAGCACTCAATAACCATACCTGTCACATAGTAAGTACTTTATAATCATTAGCATATTCACTTGGAAAACAACTTCTAATGTCATAATAAAGTGGTACCTACTTAATTTGTTTCTTGTTTGTTCAACAGAAAACGTCCTGATGTAATAACAACAACAGACTGGCTTGCTCCAGTCATATGGGAAGAAACTTACAATAGACAGGTTCTGGAAAAATATTATAAAAGGCTGAACATTACCATAGGCTTGGTTGTATGGGCTACTGGAAAGTAGGTGCTGCTAATATTTATCCTTTTTTATTTTGGAAAAGTGTAGATAAGCACCCAAGCACTTTCTACACTCAAAGAGCTACTCATAATTAACCCTACACATTTCTGGCTGACCTATATGTTATTTATCTACTGTGGTTATTTTCTCTTGTTGTGGCTGAGTCCTTAACACTACTCGAGAATATTTTCATTAATATTCATTTAGCTCTCTTTTTCTTCACAACAAACTTTATGGTTCTTCTCAGGCCCCCAAATCACTATATTCTCTTTTATTAACCAATAGAGTTAATATCTAGACCCAACTTCTCTACACTTACCTACTAGTAGTTCTTTAGTAACAAGGACATATCTGTTAAACAGCATGTTTAACTGACGTGTTCTCCTGATGATTTTTAGCAAAATTAAGTTTTTCCTGTTTTTGTTTTTTCCATGTTTCACAGGTTTACAGGACAGAACCTGAAACAGTTCATCCAATCTGCTAATAAGCACTTTATGATTGGCTACAAAGTTATCTTTTACATCTTCATGGATGACTTCTCCAAGCTACCTCCCATAGAGTTAGGTCCCCTTCGAACATTTAAACTTTTGTATGTATTTAAAGGAAAGATGTGGGAAGACTTTAACATCTTACACATGAAGAACTTAAATATGTACATCATACAACACATCGAGCATGAGGTTGACTTTCTCTTCAGTATGAGTATAAACCAGATCTTCAAGAGTAGCTTTGGAGTGGAAACCCTGGGCAAATCCGTAGCTCAACTTCATGCATGGTGGTATTTCGAAAATGTTAAAAATTTCCCTTATGAGAGAAGATTTAAATCAGCAGCTTTCATTCCTTTTGGAAAGGGAGATTTCTATTATCACAGTGCAATTTTTGGTGGCACACCCCATGAGGTTTTAACCCTCACTGAGGAATATCAAAAAGGAGTAATTCACGACACTGAAAATGAACTTAGCAGCACATATGAATGTCACCTAAACAAGTATTTTTTTATCAATAAGCCCACTAAGTTGTTATCACCAGAATACAACTGGGACCCAATTTTCAGAACTCCTCCACAAATTAAACATGTGAAGATAGCATGGCAGTCAACAGGGATTTGACTGTTATATCATTAGATATATGGGTTAATAAGAGAATCACAATAATTACTTAAAATAAAACTTATTGAATTTTTCAGTGTTTTAGAAACTTACAAAAATGTGTGCTCTTTCAAAATAAATTGTTTTTTCCTTATAATTTTGAACCATCTAACTCTGCCTATACTGGATAAATGGATAATTAAATAATTAAATGTTAGTGCACAGAAATGTTATCATCTATATATTATAAATAATGAGAAAGTATTTTTGGATGTATAAAATGAATGTTTTATAAAGATATACACCCAGACTCATAGATAGATAGATAACCTACAAATTGTCAAAGGGATATATGTAAGAAAAAAGAAATTCATCCACTCACTCCTCAAATATTTATTCTGTTTTTTCAGTGTTGTTATATATATTGCTTATGATTAATCTCCCCAATTAGTATTCAATCTATCCAGTATCTGATTGAACTTAGGTGAACTAGACATTTTACCAAATACGTATCTTATTTTTACTGTTACAAAAATATTTAGTTTATTTTTTTAATGCTATAGGAATTTTATTTTTAAAAACAGATATTTTCTAAACTCCATGGTAAATATATTCTTCTAAGTGCAGTCAGGTATAGAAAATGTTTTTTAAAACTACGTAATCTGCCCTGGCTGGCTTGACTAGAGTTAGAGCATTGGCCTGCAAACCAAAGAGTCACAGGTCTGATTCTGGTCCAGGGCATGTACCTTGGCTGCAGTTCGGTCCCCAGCCCTGGTCAGAGTCGTGCGGGAGGCAACCGGTTGATGTGTCCCTCTCACATCACTGTTCCTCTTTCTCTCTCTCTCTCTCTTTCTACCCCCCCCTCCCCCTACTCTATCTGAAGATAAATGGAAAAATATCCTCAGTTGAGGATTAAGAAAATATATATATTATTTGCCCTCAAGAAGCCTACAGTCTAGCAAGGGAAATAAAACTATTTATAAATACCTCTTTTGCAAGTTAAAAAGTGCTGAAACTCATAAGGAAGACATGGCTAAAAATATCATGGTGGTTCAGGAAAGGGAGTACACCTCTAAGAATCTTCATGTAGTCATATCGACTCTATGTCCTTAAATTGGTGATGAATTACAGCGTAGTCATAAAAACTGGAGCCCTGGCCGGTTTGGCTCAGCGGTTAGAGCGTCCGCCTGCGGTCCTGAGAGACCCGGGTTTGGTTCCCGCTAAGGGCATGTACCTCGATTGCGGTTTGTCCCCGGCCCTGGTTGGGTCGTGCAGGTGGCAGCCACTCAATGTGTCCCTTTCACGTCGATGTTTCTCTCTCTCTTCCTTTCTCTCCCTCCCACTCTGTCTGAACAAAAAATGGAAAAATGTCCTCGAGTGATGATCAAAAAAAAACTGGAGAGTCTAAAGTTACAATAAGTTATTATTTTAATCCTCTTTTATGGGAGGAAAACTGATGTTTAGTAAATATTCTATAAAAGATAAGTATTGTTGGCTATTAAAACACTAAAATCATAAGGAATACTGGTAACGACAGTGGCAGGCAGACCTTACAGTGGCCCCAGTGACCCACCTACCATGGTATTCATGTCCTTGTGCAATCTACACTCCCCCTCCCACAACCCACCTTGGTGTAAGCCGAATGTAGTGACCTGCTTCCAACTGACTACTGCCAACAACCATGTAAGTGACATTGAAAGCTGATCTTTCCCCAGCTGAGCCTTCAGATAAGAATATGACAAAAGTGATGGGATGTTACTTTCATGATTAGGATACATGAGATTGTGACTTCTGTCTTACTAGCAGACTCTCTTTCTTGCTTCCTTTGATGAAGCAAGTTGAAATGTTGGGGAGGCCCTCATAACAAGGAACTGAGGGCAATGATCATCCAACAGCCAGAAAGGACCCGAATCCCCGGTCCAACAACCTTCAACAAACTGAATACTGTCAACAACCATGTAAGTGACATTGGAAGCAGATCTTTCCCCAGCTGAGCCTTCAGATGAGACCCCATCTCCAGTCAACACCTTGACTGCAGCCTTGTGAGAGACCCAGAAGTAGAAGATCCAGCTGAGCCATGCCCATATTCCTGACCCACAAAAACTACCAGATAGTAAATGTGTGTTGTTTTAAACTACTAAGTTTTAGGGTAATTTGTTATGCAGCAATAAATAACTATTACAGATTTCATACCTGAAAGTGAAGTGATGCCATAAAAAAATACCTAAAATTGTGGGAGTGGTTTTGGAAGTAAGCACTCAGAGGATGGAAGCTGGAAAGATTTTTTGAGCATGATGGAGGAAGATTAAATTTCTTTGGACAGACAGTAAGTAGACATCTGAACTTGGAGGGCGCTGCCCGAAAGCAAGTATGGAACATATTACTGAAAACTGGAAGAAGAGGATCTTTGTTATGTAATGACAGAAAGTGTGACAACATCGCCTCCTCCAGTTACATGGAAAAGAGAACGTGTATCTGGGAGCTTGGTTATGCAGATAAGGAAGCACCCAAGCTTTCTTCTTGTTGTTTATAGCAAAATGTAAGGAGCAAGATAGATTGAGAAAAGATGTATAAAATAAAATAATCTGCTATTTTGAGATTCTTGGCCCTACACAAGGTGACATAGACTCACTTGTCCCTGTTACTCCCCTCTAAATACAACTAAGAATCCAGGACATAATTACAGACAACCATAAAAGGACTCTGAAAAGTGGAAAGAGTAAGGCAGACTGGCTAGGGACCTTAGTATTTGAGGAAAAACATGGAGGTAAATTCCCTGGGATTTCTTCTCCTCCCATATGTTCCAGTCTGGGCACAGGTGAGCCTACAACTCAGAACCACCAAAAGGCATAGACCAAAAAAAAAAAAAAAATCTCTAGGAAAAGCCAGATGGTTCTGGCTGAAGGCCCAGGAAAGAGGCAGCCAGCAGAGATCTAGGGAGGAACCCCATTCCACTTTTTTTTTTTTTTTTATCCTCGCCCGAGGACATTTTTCCATTTTTTGTTTAGATAGAGTGGGAGGGAGAGAGAGGAAAAGAGAGAGAGAGAAACATCGACGTGAAGGGACACATTGAGTGGCTGCCACCCGCACGACCAACCAGGGCTGGGGACAAACTGCAACCGAAGTACGTGCCCTTAGCGGGAACCGAACCCGGGTCTCTCTGTACCGCAGGCCGACGCTCCAACCACTGAGCCAAACCGGCCAGGGCCCCCATTCCACTTTATACCCAGCTGGCCTGGTTTGCTTGCACCAGCAGCACTGGCAAAGAGTTGGCAGAGAATTTTATCTAGAAGCACAAATAGGCCCAATGTCTCCTGGCCCTGCACTCAGCAGTAGAAGGAGACCAATGTCCAGCATCTCCTGGGACTCCACCCATTGGCAAAAGGTGATCCCCACCACGACCACCAGAGGCAGATAGAGGCCCAGGCTGATGCGTCCCTCACTCAGCAGCAGTGGCAGACACCCAGTAAGAAGCCCGCTGATAATATGTCCTAGAGAGAAGGCCATAGGAGACACTTTCTGTCCCACAGACCCAGCATCTTCCATTCACCACCTATCAGCACTAGCATGGGGAGCCCAGGAAAGCACCTTCCACCCTCTCTGGCAATACTAGCAGAGAACAGGCAGGCACTAGGTGGCCCAGAGAACAGATGGCCCAGAGAGGCTCAGAGAAGCACTCACTGCCCCATGGCCCGGCATCTCCCACACTCCACCTAGCAGGACCTGCCTGGGAAAGTGCACTTCATCCCTGCAGGCAGCATCAGCAGAATCAAGCTAGAGCCCTGGTGTCACCAGGTAAACAAAGTAGGCCAGAATAATGTCGTATAGGCTCTGAAACCTGTATTGTCTTTGGAACTACAGCCCCAAAAAGCAGGCCAGGGACTATGCACTAAACATAAACAGGTGACTTCTCCTGCTGAAATAAAAGATTTAAATAGGATTCAGGGTCTCAAAACTTAATACTTAAAATGTCTAGAATAATAAAAAATCACTCATCATACCAGGAACCAGAAAAATTATAACCCAAATGAGAAAAGGCAATCAACTGATGCTAACATAGAGATAAATCAGATGCTGAAACGACGTGACAAGGATTTTAGAGCAGCCATCATAAAAAATGCTGCAACAAGCAATTCCAAATTGTCTCAAAACAGAAAACTTCAGCAAAAATATTTATTGAATGAATGAATAATGTTTAGGAAAAAAAAAAAATTCTGTGGAAGGACACATCCCATAGGCTATCATTTATACAGGGTGGAGCAAAATTAGGTTTACAGTTGTTTGCATGGAAAGTATTTAATAAATAATAATACAAGAATGAAATCTGTGTTTTGCATACTCACAACTGTAAACCTACTTTTGCCATATACTGTATATTACTTTGTAGAAACATGGCCCTGTTCAAAACTCTGTCATGGTCCTGGTTGGTGTGGCTCAGTTGGTTGGGCACTGTTCCATGTACCAAAAGGTTGCTGGTTCAATTCCCAGTCAGGAAACATGCCAGGGTTTAGGGCTAAGTCCCCTGTAAGGGGTATGTGGGAGGCAGCTGATAGGTGTTTCGCTCTCACATGGATGTCTCTCTCTCTCCCTTGCCCTTCAATAAAAATCAATAAAAAATATTTGTAAAAATATTGCCCATCTTGCTCAAAATAAGTGGGGTAGTCCTTACTATAATATCCAAGGACCTCATATCCTAATATTTTCCCCTAGTTCAGTATATTCCTCCTTGCTGTTCCTTAAACTCACCAGACATGCTTTCACCTCAGGGCCTTTGCACTGATTTCCTCTGCCTGGAATGCTCCCTCACTACTCTTTTTTTTTTTTTTTTACTCGGAAGTAGTCTTCTTAGTGAGGCCTCCCTGATCATCTGATCTAACATTGTAGCCCCACCAAAATTTTTAAACTTAACTTTTCCTTCCTTGATTTATTTTTTCTCCTTAACATTTATAATTATACAGCATAGTGTATATTTTACTTTAAAAAAATTTTTTTAAATCCTCACCCGAGGATATTTTTCTATT